TGGAGTGGTTATATTATTATCAGACACCATCAGACCAACTAGATTTCAGAATAAAGGAAATTTCCAGGAATTAAGAGAGATAATACACATGATAAAAGGGTCAGTCACCAAGACCTAACAATCCTAAAATTGTTTGCATCTAACAGAGCTTCAAAATACATGAAGCAAAAACCAGTTGAACTAAAAGGAGAAAAGGGACAAATCCACAATTATAGTTGGAGACTTCAACATCCTCTCTAAGTAAATGAAGAGCAACTAGCTAGCTAATCACCAGTGGTATGGAAGGACTGAACATCATCATTGACCGACCGGATCGGAATGATATTTGTAGAACACTATACCCAACAACAGCAGAATACACGTTCTTTACAAGCGCACATGGAACATTCATCAAGATAGACAATATCCTTGGCCATAAAACAGACTTTAAGAGAATTGAGATTATATAAGATGTATTCTCAGATTATAATGGAATTGAAATAGAAATTAATAACAGATAATAAACATTTTCAACCACTTGGAAATTAAACAATATGTAAACAATCCACAAATTAAAGAGTAAACCTCAAGGGAAAATAGAAGATATTTTGAACTTAACAAACATGGAAATACAACATATCAAAATTTGCAGGTTGCAACTCAAATATACTTAGTGTTAGAGGCTTATATTAGAACAGAAAAAAGATCTTAATTCAGCGATCTAATCTTTACCTTTAGAAACTAGAAAAAGAAGAGTAAAATAAACCCAGAGCAATTCAAAAGTCAGTAATAGCAGACACCAGTGGAACTGCAAAGAAAAATAATAGATTAAAAATTAAAAAATAGCAAAAACCCAATGAAACAAAAACCTGTTTGAAAATATCAGTAAATTGATGAATTTCTAGCAAGACTGAAGAAGAAAGGAGGATGGGAATGACTAATAGTAGGAATGAAAGAAGGAATATCAGTACAGACCTCACGGGCGTTAAAAGGATGAGAAGGAACTACTACAAGCAGTTCTCTGCACGTAAATTTGACAGTTTAGGTGAAATGGATGAATGAATATTAAACCCCACGCTGCTAAAACTCAGCCAAGATGAAGTAGATAAACTGAGTAGTCCTAAACTTTATATAAATTGAATTCATAGTTTAAAAACTTTTGAAGCGGCCGCGCGCTGTGGCTCAAGACTGTAATCCCAGCACTTTGGGAGGCCGAGGTGGGTGGATCACGAGATCAAGAGATCCAGACCATCCTGGTCAACATGGTGAAACCCCGTCTCTACTAAAAATACAAAAGATTAACTGGGCACAGTGGCGCATGCCTGTAATCCCAGCTACTCAGGAGGCTGAGGCAGGAGAATTGCCTGAACCCAGGAGGCGGAGGTTGCGGTGAGCCGAGATCGCGCCATTGCACTCCAGCCTGGGTAACAAGAGCAAAACTCCGTCTCAAAAAAAAAAAAAAAAAAAACTTATTAAAAAAAGAAATATTCAGGCCTGTTCACTATGAATTCTACTAAACATTTAAAGCAGAAATTATACCACTTTTATACAATCTATTTCAGAAAACAGAAAAGATGGGAGCAATTCCCAACTCATGAAATAAAGCCAGCATTACCCTGATACCAAAACCAGAAAAAGATATTAATAGTAACAAGAAAACAGAAATGTGGACCCATATCCCTCATAAACATAGGTGCAAACTACTTGACAAAATATTGGCAAATTGAGTCCAGTGATTTCCAAAAAGAATAATATATTAAAACCAAGTGGAGCTTTATCTGAAGAATGCAAATCTGTTTTCTATTTGGAAATCAATAAATGTAATTCACTATAGTAACAGCCTAAAGAAGGAAACCGTATGATCCTGGCAATTGATGTTGAAAACACATTTGACAGCTGGTTGGGGTGGTGAGGCCCGAGGCAGCTGCTACAGATGTACCCCAGACAAGCAGGGCCTGGAGTGGACCTCAGCAGTCGTACAGCAGAGGGGTTAGACTGTTAGAAGGAAAACTAAGCAACAGAAATACTTCACCGTCAACAATCTGGGCGTCCACTCAGAGAACCAACCGAAAAGTCAGCAACTACTCAGACCACAGGAGGATAAACCCATAAAGATGGGAAGAAACTAGCGCAAAAAGGAGGAAAACACCCGAAACCAAAACACCTTGCCTCCTACAAAGGACCAAAACTCCTTGCCAGCAAGGGAACCAAGCTGAACGGAGAATGAGGGTGATGAAATGACGGAATCAGACTTCAGAAGGTGGATAATGAGAAACTTCCGTGAGCTAAAAGAACATGTTCTAAATCAATGCAAAGAAACTAAGAACCTTGAAAAAAGATTCGAGGAAATTATAACAAGAATGGACAACTTAGAGAGGAATGTAAACGAATTGAAGGAGCTGAAAAACACAACACGAGAACTTCGTAAAGCATGCACAAGCTTCAACAGCCGAATCGACCAAGCAGAAGAAAGAATATCAGAAGTCGAAGATCAACTCAGTGAAATAAAATGAGAAACCAAGATTAGAGAAAAAGTGCAAAAAGGAATGAACAAAGTCTCCAAGAAATGTGGGATTATGTGAAGAGACCTAACCTATGTTTGATAGGTGTACCAGAATGTGATGAAGAAAATGAATCCAAGCTGGAAAGTACTCTTCAGGATATTATCCAGGAAAATTTTCCCAACCTAGCAATCCAGGCCAATATTCAAGTCCAGGAAATACAGAGAACACCACAAAGATATTCTGCAAGAAGAGCAACCCCAAGGCACATAATCATCAGATTCAACAGGGTTGAAATGAAGGAGAAAATACTAAGGGCAGCCAGAGAAAAAGGTTGGGTCACCCACAAAGGGAAGCCCATCAGACTCACAGCAGATCTCTCGGCAGAAACTCTACAAGCCAGGAGAGAGTGGGGGCCAATATTCAACATCCTTAAAGAAAAGAACTTTCAACCCAGAATTTCATATCCAGCCAAACTGAGCTTCATAAGTGAAGAAAAAATAAAATCCTTTGCAAACAAGCAAGTACTCAGAGATTTTGTCACCACCAGGCCTGCTTTACAAGAGCTCCTGAAAGAGGCACTACACATAGAAAGGAACAACCAGTACCAGCCATTCCAAAAACATACCAAATGCTAAAGAGCATCAAAAGAAAGAATAATCTGCACCAACTAATGGGCAAAACAGCCAGCTAGCATCAAAATGGCAGTATCAAATTCACACATAACAATATTAACCCTAAATGTAAATGGGCTAAATGCACCAATCAAAAGACACAGACTGGCAAATTGGATAAAAAGCCAAAACCCATCGGTGTGCTGTATCCAGGAAACCCATCCACATGCAAGGATACACAAAGGCTCAAAATAAAGGGATGGAGGAAGATTTACCAAGCAAATGGAGAGCAAAAAAAAGCAGGAATTGCAATTCTCATCTCTGATAAAATAGACTTTAAAGCAGCAAAGATCAAAAGAGACAAAGAAGGTCATTACATAATGGTAATTGGTCATTACCAATGGTAATCAATGGTAAATGATTGATTGCTTTCTCCTAAGATCAGGAACAAGTGAAGGATGTCCAGTGTTTGCATTCAGCATCATGGTCAGCAGTGCATTGGAAGGTATAGTCAGTGCTGTAAGTCAGGAAAACAAAAGACATACACACTGGAAGGAAGAAACAAAACTGTCCATTTTTGCAGGAAACATGATTGTGTGTGTTAAAGATTCTGAGGAATCTACAAAAAATGAGTAAGTGAGTTTAGTGAGACTGCAAGATAACACAGGAAGTCAGCATGAAAAATCAGTCCTGTTTCTCTATACTAGCACTGAAAAATTGAAAGCAAAATACAGAAACAGTATTACTTACAAAGCCCTGCCCTTCATGAAATAAATCTGACAAAATAGGTATGGGATCCGTATGCTGCCAGCTATAAAACTGTCCTTTTGCTAGCTGTCATTGCGGTTATTCTTAGGTGAAATCAAGGAAGACCTAACTAATTAGAGAGACATAACGTGTATATCTTGGAAAACTCAACATAGTAAAGCTGTCAGTTCTGCTCAAGATTGATCTATAGATTTTATGCAGTTTCAATCAAAATCCCAGCAGGAATATAGATAAACTGATTCTGAAATTTGCATGGAAAGGTAAAGGAATTAGAAGAGTCGAAGTAGTTTTGAAAAAGAACAGTAAAGTTGGAGGAGTCATACTACAGTTTAAACACTTCCTATACTGCCACACTAATAAAATTAGCATCAAGGGATTGGCACGTAGATTAATGGAACAGAATAGAGAGTCCAGAAATAAAGTTTGGAAGTGCCTTATTAAATTAAATATAGCATATGACCCATAGTCCTACTCTTGGAGAAATGAAACCTGTGTTCACACAGAAATCTGGACACGTGTTTGTAGCAGCTCCATTTATAATTACCCAAACCAGAAACAGCTCAAATGTTCATGAGTGACTGAATGGATAAATAACCATTATACATCCGTATAATAGAATATCACTCAGTAATAAAAAAAGAAAGTTTGATGTCTATACTACAACTGGGATGAATCTCATCAGTTGGGATGAGGTTCAAATGACAGTGCTGGGGAAGCAGTCATAGACCACCAGGGTTGGGCAGGGCAAGGGAGCACTCTGGGGGGCTGGGGCTGGCCTACACCCCGAGTGTGGTGCTGGTTATGTGAATCTGTGCATGTGCCAAACCCATAGAGCCATAACCCAGTGTCAGTCTCACATAGGTTAATGAAAACATTCCCAACTCAGGAGACATTGTGATTTCTACTTGGGTAAGGGTCATTCCATGATAATTTGGCCCACAGGGCTTTTAGTGTCACATCCAGTTGCTTTTTGCTCGGAAGCTACTTGATCATAATCTAAGAACATGTGGCTTCTTCAATGGCCTCTGATTGCATGTGGGCTTTGTTTTAGGACCGAGCGTGCTGTTCCTGGTTGGATCGTTGTGACCGGAGTGCTGATGAAGGGCGTAGCCATCACTGCTCTTGTGCTTCATTGCAGGTGAAGCAGGTGGAGTCGGGTACAGTCCGGTTCCAGTTCTCGCTGGGCTCAGAAGAACACCTGGACGCACCTGCAGAGCCTGTCAGCAGCCCCAAGGTAGAGCGGCAACTTGCGGGGAAACCACCCACGTCCCCTTCCAGTAAGTGTTTCCAGAGAGCTGACTCCCCAGGCACACAGCAGGCAGCACTTCCATCTGTTACCAGGGAAAGATACTTAGTTCAGTATGGTAATCATCACATTTGTAAGATCACTGCCATAGATTGCTTTAATCGAATCTGTTTTTTGGGCTTTTGCTTAATACAAAGGTGTAGAATTGGACAGTGATGAATTGTGGCCCAGAAGCTTGTCACCTGTGCTTCAGCCTGGTGTCAGCTTAGTTACTTGACAGCTCCCCAACTAAGCACTTAAAAAGGACATGTCACATGGGTGCCTTGCAAATGTGGGACCCGAGAATTAGAGGGTGGTCGAGAGCCAAGGACTGCCACTTTGAGTTTGCGCTGTTCAAGCAGCCATCTGTCTGTTCACCTTGAAGCACTGCCCAAAAGTTAGGGGTCTGTGTCTGAGTCTGTGGCTTTAAGAAAGGGAGTCGCAATTGGCTGCAAGCAGCAAGGACTGCCAGCAGAGGCAGAGCCCAGGCCCTGTGGATGGCAGCAAGTACTCATAGGTAGGTGGGTAAAGAGTTGTTGCTGGCTGTCAGCCTAGCTGCTTCTGCTAAGGCAGTATGCTGTGCTCAGAGCCCTTGGTCTACAGCATGTTCTGGTTGAGAATTCCACCCATAGTGAAGTGAGGGGCAGAAGGAATGAGGGAGGGTTGGAGTAGTTCACCTAAATGGGTGTGGGGCCTTCGCTCTAGGCATCTGGAGCTCTGGCTTAGAGTTAAAGTTCTAGGATCCCTAGTCACAGGTGATGACTCTGTTTGTTCTAGATAGCAAGATAGGGAGTGAACAAGTGTACAAGCCCATGGAGGGAGCTTTGTGTTCTTCCGGCCCCCAGCTGGTGATGCCCAGGTGTTCAGGGAGGACTTGCTTCTGTGCTCGGTGGTGGCCTCAACTCCTGGTGCAAAGCTGCTGGTGCTTCTGTCACCTGGGAGAGGTTTTCTCTGTGCATTGAGATTCTGATTTATGGGAACTAGGCTTGTTGAATTTGATTTTACAATTGCTGGAAGCAGCACGTACATTTCTAAGTTGATGAATTCGATGAAGTTGATGATTTTCTGAGATGTCTGATACCGTGCAAATGCTATGTAAATTGCTGTACTGTTTAGGGAATAACAAGAAAAAAAGAGTCTGTTTGTGTTTAGTGTAGCCACAACCGTACATTTAAAAAAAATATTTTCAGCCCAAGGCTGGTTGAATTCATGGAGGCAGAACCCAAGGATCTACTCCGTACTCTGATTTTTGATGAAGTTACTTAAAAGTACAATAGTAATACATAGTCAACACGGCCCTTCAGGATTTCCTGAGCGGTCTAAGAATATTCTGGTATCAAAACTTAATAGATGATTTCTTTGGGACAAACTACATCATTCAGTATTTTCCTTCTTTTCATAGAGGTGGTGCATTTGATAGTTTAACTGTTTTGTGTTTTCAGTGTTTGAATTTTATGCCTACCAGCTTGTTCTCAGGATTTCTGTTCACCGCCAGTGTGTACATTAGCTATCCCATCTTACACAAACGACACTGACATGTGCAGCAGCCCCAGTACTAGAATTCCTTGTGGTGGTGGGTGGTAGGCATGCGTGCATTTTCTGTCAGTCAGATTAGAATGAATTTCCAATTTTATTTGATGAAACTGAATGCATTCAAGGCATAGGACACATAATTTTGAAATACTAAGCAAAGGGTCATAATAAAGGGTCATTTAAAGCAACCCACTGCCTGCTTACGTCTCGTATCTTTCCTTGTTTGACGTACACTCTTTGACATAGAGTTAATCTTAAAAATAAAATACATGTCAACCTCTTAAGAAACAAAATTACGAAGAAAAGAGGACCTTAGATTATAAATTGGGTATATTTTGTAATTAAATATAAATATGATTAGAGCTATCCCTTGGTATCCTTGGGGGACTGGCTTCAGATGCTCAAATCCCTTCTGTAAACTGGTGTGGTATTTGCCTGTGACCTACGCACATTCTCCCATGTACTTAAAATCATCTTTAGATGACTTACAATACCTAATACCGTGCAAAGGCTATGTAAATCGTGTTGTACTGTTTAGAGAATAATGACAACAAAAAAGAGTCTGTACATGTTCGGTGCACACACAATCGTCCATTTTTAAACGAGTATTTTCAGTCCAAAGTTGGTTGAATTCATGGCTGCAGAACCTGTGGATCTGCTCTGCACTCTGATTTTTGATTAAGTTACTTAAAAGTATAATAGTAATACATAGTCTACATAATTCGCCCATGGCTGTAGAAATGGCTGAACAGAGAATGAACCTATATAGGTGGCTTTCAGGGAAAAAAATGTGACTACCTTCTCTGGAAAGAAATTTTCTTGTGTTTAAATTGTGATATAAGCCAGGCATGGTGGCTCATGCCTGTAATCGTGGCACTTTAGAAGGCTGAGGCGAGAGGATCACTCGAGCTCAGGAGTTTAAGAGCAGCCTGGGCAACATAGCAAGACCCCATCTCTACTAAAAATAAAACAAATGAGCTGTACGCAATGGTGTGCGCCTCTAGGTCCCGCCACTTGGGAGGCTGAGGTGAGAGGATTGCTTGAGCCCGGGAGTTTGAGGCTGCGCAGTGAGCCATGATTGTGCCGCTGCACCGCACCCTGGGCAAAAGAGCGAGACTTTGTCTCAAAAATAAATAAGTAAGTAAAGATGTAGTTATCGCACTGGAAATGGGCAGCTAGTTTTGTTTGAAGACCTTCTAATCAAGTGAGTTGTAAACTCTGACGGGCATATCCTGGTGTCTGGCTTTTGGGCTGGCACGACCGTGGGCGCTGTGCGGGATTTACTTTCCTGGTTGCCCTGTTTTCATGAGGTGCTTGGAGGAGATTTTAAAACCAGTCTGTCGCTGCGGCTGCTTTCCCAGAAGGGCGCTTTAACTGGTTTTTTTGCTTGGGGTTCCTTGAGCTTGTTAGATCTCTAGATTTATAGTTTTCATCACATTTGGAAACATTTTGGTCATTATTTCTTCTGTCTTCCTCTCATCTTCTGATTCAGAGGCCCCAATTATGTGTACATCAGGCTGCGAGAAGTTGTCTCACAGCTCACTGATAGTCTGTTCACTTTTATTTGTAACCTTTTTTCGCTGTGCGTTTCATTTTAGATAGTTTCTGTTGCTGTATCCTCAAGTTCACTTCAAGTTCTTTTCTTGTTGAGTGTCTGATCGGCCATTTATCTCATTCAGTATATTTTTCATCTTGGGTATTTCGTTTTCATCTCGGGAGTTGTGTTTGGGCTTGTTTTATATCTTATATGTCTTGACTTAACACGCCCAGTGTTTCCTCTGGCTTTTTGAACTTAGGAAATATAGTTATAGCTACTTTAATATCCTGGTTTGCTAATTCTACTATCTTTGCTGGCTCAGGGTCAGTTTTGATTGATAGATTGTTGTCCTGATTGGGGTTGTATTTTCCTGCCTCTTTGGATGTCTGATAACTTTTGATGGACCCCAGATAGAATTTTCTCTTACTGGATACTGAATATTTTTGTATCTGATAAATAGTCTTAAGCTTTGAAAATTGTTAGATCCTTTTGGGTCTTGCTCTTAAGATTAGTTAGGTGGGATCAGATTAGCATTTCTTCTAGGGCTAATTATTCCTCACTGAGATGACAGGTGCCCTCTGAGGGCTCTGCCCAGCGTCCCGTGAAGAATGAGGATTACCAGGTGGCTGGAGGGAATGGCACTGTGACTGCCTGCCCTGTGAACCCCAGGCCCTGTTCCCTGTAATCCTTTCTGGTGGTTCTTTTTCTTTTCGCCTTACCAGTTTCCTCATCTGCACTGTACTGAATGCGAGGGTGGGACCCTCTGTAAATGGCCAGTGTTCTCTCTGTGCCGCTCATCCTATCTGTGCAAACTCACTGAACACAGTAAGCTGGAGGCAGGGGAGGCCTCCCCTCTTCTGTTTCCATCCCTCAGGATTACTCTTCTTTGTTGCCTGAAGTCCGCTGTGTTGAAAACCACTGTTTTACATATTTCGTGTTGAAAAGAAAATGTGTTTTAGATGGCAGGGTCAGTCTGATCACTGTCACTCTTCTTGGCCAGAGGTAGAAGTCCTGGACTGCTGTTAATGGTTTCTCAGCTGCTGAAATCATCCCCCCTCGGGGCTGATCGTCTGGTGGTTTGGGAGCGTTTTCTAGCTTCGTGTGCTACCTGGGATTCATTCGCCATGCTGTGTGTTTTCCGGACTTTTGAGTCTTGGCTCATGCTCTCTACCTGGTGTGTATTTCTTCCATGTGCTGCATTTATTTTCTTTTACAATGTATTCCAGGGTTTTTTTTTTTTGTTTTTAGAGATAAATTTTCATTTCGTTGCTCTGGCTGGAGTGCGTGACATGATCACAGCTCACTGTAGCCTTGAACTCCTGAGCTCAAGCCATCCACCTGCCTCAGCTTCCTGAGTAGCTGGGACTACGGGCAGCGCCACCATTCCTGGCTAAGTGTTTTTGTTTTTTGCTTTTTTTTTTTTTTTTTTTTTTTGTAGAAATGAGGTCTTGCTATGTTGTAGGCTGGTCTTGAACTCCTGGTGTCAGACAGTCCTCCTGCCTTGGCTTCCCAAAATGCTGGGGTTGTGTATTTTTTAATTTAAAGTATGGTGTGTGACAACTTGCAGAGAAGGAGTATGTTAATTTCTGATTGCTGCTATAACAAATTACCCCAAACTTAGTGACGTTAAACACCAGGAGCTTATTATCCTAAAATTCTGGAGGTCAGAAGTCCCAAGTGGGTCCCACAGGCTTGAATCAAGGGTTCAGTGGGGCTGTGCTCCTTATGGAGGTTCCAGGGGAAAGTCCATTTCCTCGCCTTTTCCAGCTAGAAGCCACCTGCATCCCTTGACTCCTTCTTCCATCTTCAGAGGCAGCCATGCAGGACCTTCCAGACTCACTCAACTCTGACCCTCCTGCCTCCCTGCCATCCTGCCTTTCACTTACAAAGACTGCTGTGAGTGCATTGGGCACACTTGGAAA